CGAGCCGGTACTATGTGGCACACAGCCAGCTGACAAGTCAGTACACGGTCACGGACCGTGTGCCCAACTTGCGGGAGCAGCTACACGGTCTGTATCTCTGCCGTTCTGAGCTCTGGCCGAATGATGGATGATTAGCAAGGTCTGCACTAGACCTTACTAATCACCACTAGATCACTAGGGAATGATGATGTGCCTCCTCCCTGCACAGATGCAAGCAGGTGAGGGGGCTTGGAAGGAAAGGAGGGGGTCCTATATTTCAGGTACGATTAGGGATTCCTGTGTCACAAACTTGCGTTTTCCTGCAGCAGGAATCCCTAATCTGGCGTTTACATGCAGCAACTGTCACACATTCAAGTTAATGATCAGGTGACAGCCGCTGCATGAACACGCCTGCATACCACATGTAATCGTATGTGATATGATTACATGCAGTTACAAAAACAATCGCTATCCCTGGTTACACAATTGTGTATCCAGGGATAGTGATTGATTCCTAACTGCATGTAATCCTTTCACATATGATTACATGCGGAGTGCAGGCGTTTACATGCAGCAACTGTCACACATTCAAGTTAATGATCAGGTGACAGTTGCCGCTTGTAACATGTGCATACATTAAAACCGGTACCGTATATAGTAACGGCCCCCGCCTAAATTGAGTTTGAGACCCCTGCCTTAAAGTGACATTAAAGTCGAAATCCCCCCCCCCCCCATTGCTGCATTAAGGACTTGCCTTAAACGATGCCTCTTGATTCGATCAACATCTTCTTTCCCTCCAGTGCTGGTGCCGGTCTCTGACCCAGCGCCGACTCCTGTCTCTTCATGTCCCACAGGGTCTGTGCGGGTGCACGCTGCTGCATTGACTTACCATGTGTCTCTCCTGTTCTCCCGGCCGAAGATCTGAACTGTGCGTGCGTGCGCCCGCCCCATGACTTTGCGGCCGCCCAAAAAATGTAATGATCCTTTAACAACCCTAACAATGGGGGTGCCATTCATTTCAATGGCACCGCAGACATGCCTCCTGCCTGCATGCGATTGCCCGCACCAGAAAGCGTTGTGCAGCAAAGCCCGCACTCCGGTGTGTTGCAATTGTAAAAAATTGTGCATTTTTTCTTTTATAAAAATAATAAATTATATTTTTCTCAAAAAAATTGACTTTCTAAATCTGCTGGGTAACACATAGTTAGAAGAGCACTATGAGGAGTGCTTTTCACTCCTAGTTCTAGCCGACCTGCGACAATGAGACTGTCAGTAGATCGGGAGGTGAGCGAACACATGCCGGTGTTCGCTCACTTCTCGATCCTGTCACGGCTCTCTGCCGTGACAGGGGAGGGGATGGATTCCCCCCTCCCCGCTCCGATCCACCAGCGCTGACGGGGGGAACGGACGGGGAGGGGGCGGGTACAGCTGGCTCTGCCTCTAGATAGGCAGGGCCAGCTGTCACTCACGCAGCTGTGCAGATCTCGACATCAATGTCGGGATCCGCTCCGGCGTCTAAGCTGTAGCTCGCGGTATACTGAGCTTAGGGTGATGGGAGGATGCTAGTTTGTGTCCTCCCGTTACCCCAAGGAGAACTATGGGGAAAAGCCCTGACCCCATAGTTCTCCTTTAACTGTAATAATGTGTATGTACCCCCTGGATCACTGCCCTTTCTTGACCATTTACAATCTCATTATTAGCAGAAAGTATAGCTTCCTGTGCTGCTGGAGGAGAGCAGTGGCTCTCATGCACAATAGGACCGATCATTTGTCAGGCCCTCCTCTCCCCCTTGTCAATTCACAGAAAGCTTTGTACTCTGAATGATTCACAAAATACAGTGGGGGGAATTTATCATACCAATTGCAAGTGTTTGAACTCGCATATGGTCACATGGGATATATTTGCACCAGATACATGTTGCTAGTGTAATGTTGTTCATAAATGAGATTAAATAGACTCCAGGAAAGAAGATTCGTGACTCCAGGCAAAAAGCTCAACTGTCACTTCTTGAAGTGGTCATCGGGAGTTCTTATGTTGCGATTGTTTTGTTAGGTGATGCTCCAGTTTCAGACAGCCGCAGGACAAGTGCAGATGTAAACAGTTGCAAACTTTCCCAAAACATGCGCAATCGGAAAAATAGTGCAAGCTCTGGTCAAAAACAGGCGCACGTGTTAAAAAGGAGCAGCCAAAGGCGAATTGCTTTGATTCCCCCCAGTGTTCTGTGAATGGACAAGGGCAGAGGAGGGATGGATATTACAGTTTCTCTGTAGGATCGCAACAGTTTTCCTGTCACAGTGCTGGAAGTATAGCGGCATCTTGTGACATCAGTGAAATCATACATGGTCAAGAAGGGACAGTGATCCATGAGCTGAATGGTTATCAGTTGACCATTTGTTACCCAGCAGGCTATTAAAAAACAATGGTGGAGCAGACAGAATCTGGAGCAGCTGTCCAGGGCGAAGAGAAGCTGGTTGGTTGCCATGCACGGCTGCTCCAGATTTGGTCTGCCCCAAGCTTTGATAAATTCCCCTCAAAGTTTTCCTGGAGTTCTTCCTTCAGTAATGGTGAGATGAATGTCACTCTAGTCAGTTATACGGGCAAAGAAATTAGTCCCCATTTATTTCCTGGTAAATTCTTTTAGCACTCTTTTATAATATCAGAGAAACAGAAAAAAAGAATCTCATAATTCCATTTTTTTCTATTCCTCTTATGAGGTTTAAATAAAATACTGACCCACTACAGACACAAGTACGAGAATGTCATTCGAGAACAACTTTCACTTCTCAAGCTTTAAAAATGGCTTTTTTCTGCTTCACCAAAGGCTCTTGTTACCGTATGAGTTTATGTCAAATCTTCCTAAGACATATGTATATAGTTTTATTTCTTGTTTTAAATATTTCCCCTGAGGTGTTGATAGCTTGTAGGGAAATAAAGTCTTTGTTGTGCTTATCACTGTGGAGGGGAGTGCCAGGCCCAATGAATTGCAAATAGGGTCATTGTTGAGCCCAGGCATGTCCAGATAATTACCATAGAGGTGCAACTTCAGTATCCTGTGTATGAGGAGCCAAGACCCTTTGATCTAATAACAAGTAGACTGGCCAATCGTAGAGAGGGGTGTGGAGTTGTAAAGAGGGTCTTGCAAACCCTCCAATCCCCAGTAGGCCTTGGGAGGCAACCAATGGGAGACTTGTCATGCATCTCCATGGACACGAGGGGTATATTAATGACTGGAAAAAACAGCTCGTCCTCTTTTCACCAGGATGGGGCCTCATGTGACGATTGATGGGTAACTATACATATAGTCTTTCCCCCACTTAACTGTATGTCTGTTTGTCTGTTAGATACCAATGTCTGGGTATTTGGCATGTTTAAATCTTTTCTTTGTATGTTGTAGTTAAATAGATTGTTGGTTCATTGTATTTAAGTCTTGATACTATATACCAATAAATTCTGTTATTGTGTTGAGCCCAAAAATCTCATGAATGAATCCTTAGAATATTATACCTGTAAGTGTGAATGCTTGTATAGCGGTTCATAACTTAAAATAGTAATTCAGGTAACACTCTGACTGGACAATCAGAATACGAAGAAATTCAGAAATTAATGATGCCTTTTGCATTCCTCCTGGTTAAAGCTTCATTCCAGATTCTGAATGAAAAGGTCACACAACCGATTTCAACATAACTGGACATTTCAGATGTGTGACCAGCCCACCTGAGACCCTGCAGAGCCCATCATAGAGAGTCTATGGTGGGCTCTGCAGGGTCACTCAGGTGGGCTGTGTGGGATCTCATACGGGCTCTGCAAGGGGTGTAACTAGAAATCACACGGACCCATAGAAAATTTTGCTATGGGGCCCTGTGATTTCTAGATACGCCCCTGCTCGCCTCTACAGCTTTTTTGTGAAGTGAAGCAGTGGCGGATCCGGAGACTGGGGACGCCCCCCGTATATAATTGCTTCCTCTTCCTGCACGGTTTCCCCCCTGGCATTCCAGAGCTTCCTGCCTCCACAGCCACAGCTCCGGCAAAGAGAAAGAAGAGAAAGAGTGCCCGGAGTGACACACATGCAGCAGCCAGCGATGGCACAGACTCAGAGGGGGCAAGGTGGAGCTGGCAGAGAAGGAGAAGAAGGTATGTGTCCGTTTGTGCCCCCTAAGCATACAGTACCGTATACCTTATACGGTATTGTATGCCTAGGAGGTAGCCTCTTATAACTTTTCACTGCTGGATCTTAAGAATGCTGGGGGTTTTGGGGGGTCACTGACCTTCTGACCGCTGCACTCTGATGCATTACCTCTTTCTGACCGCCGCACTCTGTATGTTTCTTACTACTGACCTCTGTGCGTTACCTTCTCCTGACTGATGCACTCTGTATGTTTCTTATGACTGACCTCTGTGCGTTACAACTGACCTCTGTGTGTTATTGGGAAGACTGACCTCTGTGCGTTACTTGCGACTGACCTCTGCACTTTGTGCATTACTTCCTTAGGGTTTTGTGTATAGTTATTTATAGAATTAGATAAGAGACAGAAACAAAAAATTCTAGCTCTAGGAGCTGTGATTTCCTGGCTGTTAAAATATGGTCTTAAAATATGCAATTGATTGTTAGTTTTTTATTATCGTTTGCATTTTTTTTTCATTATGGGTGTAAGTGGGGGGCCTCATGTTTGAGTTTCGCCGAAGGCCTCACAAAGTCTAGAGCCGCCTCTGCATTTTACCATACACTTTATGTAACACAAACTTTTCTGGCATCCTATATAAAAAACAATAAAAGGGAATCTTATTTGTTAAGAATATTTACAGACCACTGCACAGTTAGGAAGTTTGTTTAGACAGATACACTTGCACAGTACTATGGTGCAACCTAAGTCACATTTTAGACACGGCTTAAACCAAACCATACATATTGGTCACAGCAACAGCAGCAAGTAATGTCTGCAACATATAAGAAAGCATTAATTATTTTTTTTCCTCTCCAAAGGAAGACATGTACTTAAAATGATTACAGCCAGCTCGCCTACCTGGAAGGAATCTCCTGAAGTTGCCATGATTGAATTATCTGGGTCCTGTGTGGCCTGTTCAGGACGGATTAATCTGTTCAGACACATGGCTTCAGTTGGAGAACTGTGAGACTCGGTCCTTGACAAATGAAGGGATTCCTTCATATATTTCATTGCGATCTGCTTCTGCAACCGTAGAACTTCCTTTTGAGATTCATGCAGCAGGCGATTAAAGTCATTGAACTTCAACAAACTTGGAAAATCCTGCATCTTATTGAACATACACAGGGAAACAAAGAATACAAAATCAGCAATAGTATAAAGGGAAGAAATAACCTATCAGATAAAAGGAGTTACTAAAAGACTAATCCCCACAGTTTTTATTACTGTATGCACTGAACTTGAACTAGTAACAGGAAGGCATTGCTATAACATCTGAAAGGGAACCTGTCACCACAAATGCAGCATTTACACAGAGAGCGGTCAGTAAATAAGATGAAATGCTTTGTGAATTTGCCAATATCCAAAATGTTACAATACAAAATTATTTCTGGTCATGTTAAAAATGAAAAAAAATTTAATCTCCAGTGTTTGGATACAAAAAGTGTGGAGAGGTCTGATCACATGTAGATTCAGAAAAAAAAAGTGCCTGAGATTAATATATGGCAAAACTTGGTCGGGCCAATCTGACCAAGCAAAAGTAATATTCGCCGAATATTTTGAATAAAATGGCTGCTATGGAACAGTACAGACTGTCCAAGATTATTCTTCCTCATGTCAGTTATACATTAACTGGAGATTCACACCTATATGTTTTATCACAAACATACACGGTTTTACTGAAAATATTGTAGGGCAACTGTACAATGGATCAGTTGTCTCAACACTGCACAAGTGGCCAGTAGAGGGACTCTCAAATACATAGTGGAATAGTAGTTGATGGAATTTAGCCATGAAGGCCACAGAAGTAGATGCAATCACTAATAAAATTATTAGTGAGCATTTGGTGTCTGCACTAAATAAATAAAATGGACCAGTACCCAGATTATGAAAATTAAGGGTTAAAAGGGGCTTTAAAACAAGCATTCACTGACCCATGCAGCTGCAGGTACTGTGAAGAAATTCATCTTCAAATTTACAACAATGGCAATGCAATTGTCGCTCCCTTCCCTATATTTTGTCTGGCAGCAAGAACTTCTTTGTAAAACGTAGCAGTGACATCATTACTGTTCTGCATGTTGCCCGTGTAGAGAAGAAAGCTGTGGGAGGGACCCAGCAGGCCCCACCCATTAGAGGTCGTCTACGAAAAAATACAGTAGGTAGGGCGGATACAAAACCAGTCACCATGCAAAAGGAGAGTAAGGAGCAGTGACTGGTCTTTATTAAAAGGAAGAAAGGAAGGTCCTGCGCAAAGTCTTAGACTGGATTACTTTACAGATCTAGGAGAAATACACAGATACAAGTAAGAAATCACATGGCTTCTGTATTTAGACAATATTTGCTTAACCCAGAGTTCAGCTTTAAACAGTTAGAATTGCTTACTCCACAGTACCTGCAGTTGCAGAGATCAATGTGGGCTTGTTTTAAAGATCGGTCACTGCTGGTAAAGAGTTTATAAAAACTTATAGCAGAACTCCGTGCAAAACAAATCTTAACCCTTTAATTGGGGCTACCCCCACTGCAAGGGTTAATGAGGAGCGATGCTGAAGAGCAAGCCAGGATCGTGGTTCAGGTGAGTAACTTTATTTTAGCTCCCTGGACAAAACCAGCACTTGACCTTTGCAGTGTTGGGGTAGCCCCACTGCAACGGTTTGTTGGTTATGTGTTTGGATGAAGCACTGAGATCTTAAGGCATGATTAATTAAGTTTTACTTGCTTAGAAATATATTGCATCTGAATACAGTATAGAAGAGAGGAAAATATAGATAGCTAGCTAGAACTTCCTGTGTATCACAGACATGCATACATAAGCAGAGACCAACACTGCACCACAGCGCCATCTAGTGCCCAAAAGACAATACTGCATCTCTGAATGTCAGCAATACAATCAGTACATATCAGAATATCAGTAATATGGTGTTGCATTTCCAACTGGGTTAAGATTTGATTTGCCCAGAGTTCTGCTTTTAATGGCTACAGTGCTGGGCACAGGCGCACTTTTAAACTGCATAGGGTTCACTTATTAGCTTAAAAAACACCAAAAAAAAACTAATGTTACTTTTCTTAGCTCAAGAGGAGAGCATGCAACCCAAAAACAAAGCATATAAAATATGCAGTATACACAAACCGCAAACATACATAATGAATGGAACCTTGGGTGTTTTCATAAAAGAATTGATCTGCGGTTCAGATATTTATACCAAATGTATATATTGAGTAACATTTTCAGAGGTAAACTATTTAACCCCTTATTGACACAGCTTCAGACAATGTTTTAGTTCCTGGGAAACAGAGCAATTTTGCCATGTTTGTTATGCTTTGTTTAACCATAATTTCAATCTTCCTCAAGCGTTACACCTACACATATTATATACCGTTTTCTAAAAGGACAAAATGGGCTTTAATTTGATGTGACAAATGCATATATGAATTCTTGCACAAAAAAAATGTTCACACTTTTGGCAATAATAACGTTTACATAATTAGTATAGCTAACAGAAAGTAATTCATAATAAATTATTGTATTTGTCTCGATTTATACGGTATATCATATGTCTACTAGGATTTCAGTTTATTTTGGGAGTTATGGGGCACAAAATACAAGGAGTGAAAAAACAATTTTAGAATGTGGCACTATATTTTCTTATGAATTTTTTTTTATTTACTTTTTTAAACTTTTAAAAAACGGTTTACAACTTTGTAAAAAAAAAAACTAGGGGGCACTAAAGGGTTAATTTATTCACAAGGGTTTGGATACTTCGTATTCTGAGGAATCACTGTATTCTCCTCAGAGATACTTTGTATCACTTTGTAGCACAATGGTTCAGCTTGCAGCTCCACAGCACAGTGAGCTGTAAGCCGGATCAGTGGCTGTAACAGCACTTTGATCACTGCGATTAGCGATCACAGTGCTGGGACCCCCTGGTTTGCTGTTGAGGGTCTGCCTCGGACACCAAGGGACCCAGCAACAGAACAAACCCCATGAGCACTGGTCCCTCCATGGACCAGCACTATTTTCCCGCATGACTGAACTATTCCATCACCGATCTTTAAATATTAGAAAGATTTGACGGAAAATAATTCCGTTATCGGTCGGAAAGGGGTTATTACTACTCAAAATAATTACAGAATGATCATATCAAAAAGAAAGCAAGCAACTATCTTTCTAATGTACACAACTATCTTAATCAGTAAATCACATTTCTATGACCATTTGATATATTGCATTTGACAAGTTCCCTTGAACTAGATTTGTTAATGAACCTTTGTTTTACTTTTACTTTGTGGTTTTAAGATGTTAATAATGTTCTGTGTGAGATCTGGAGGTTATATAAATGCCAGTTTGCAGTGCTCTTGGCTTATTAGCTGAAAGAAATACAATGCATGCAATCGCTGCCAAATGCTAAACAAACGGCTGTTGGATGTCTATTGAAATACTATTTAACAAGAAACATCTTTAGGTCTCATCATTGCTGAACATCTTCAAGCCTCCTCATTGTGCTAGAATCTAAAAAGGCTTGCACCTGGGTTTTCTATCCCATCACAAAACAGCTGAGGATGAAAATAAAATTGGATCAGCTGGTGAAATTGGCATTACCCTGCTGAGATATAAGAAAAATGCCTAGCAACTGGCACCATTAATTATAGAAAGCCTGACTAGCACAACAACCAGCAACATAAAATCCCCTGCACTCTAGAGACAAATCTAATGATGCATTTTTCCATTAACTATTCACAAAAAAACCCTCAAAATTACATCAGCCAATTAAAAAAAAGTACAAACTGGTAATGGTGAGCCACTGGAATGGTTAAAATGGCTTGCGTATGAGGGTACCCACAGACAACCCAACTACTGCTGGTTTGATTTGAAGAAACAGGATCAACGTGCTTTGAAATGTTTACTGAATCATATAGGTAGTGTGCTCACTGTGTACCCTGGCATCAACTCCTTTTACCATCACATCTCAATATTATCAGAACCAACAAAACTATGGAATGACGGTATACTGATCTGATCAATATCACCCATCAATATTCTGTCAACAGCTAGACAGGAAGAGAGATGGGGAAGTCGTACCAAAACACAGTGCTACTCATTTCTACAAAATTCGCAAAAATGATCAGATTTAAGTTTCACTCTTAGCCCATATTATTTTACTGCTTATTGTCTGCTTTATTTTCTGTAAATATTTTCTTGCATTGTTTTCCTCTTTTTATTAAAATATTTAAAAATCATTAAGCTTTAACTTGTCTGAAGACTACTAGGAAGATATCTGCTCCTCTCATTTAAGAGGCTCCCCAGCCTTTAACAAAAGAATGATAGAACTCTGTATCATACACCTGGCATATCTGTTCCCAATGAGATTGCATAAAATGGTGTCTTAGGTGCTTTCAGTCCAATGCAAATTTTCTCCACTTACTGTGGCATTTCCACAGGATTTCCGAATATTAGACACAGGTACTCCATAAACGGTCTGCCATACTTTCTAGACCAATTCCACACACTATATTGGTATGTCTTTTTGGCTTGTTGGATGAAGAAGAATGGACAAGGTATCAGTGGATATTTTTACATGAAACTGTATTCCTGGCTTGTAAACGTATATAGTTCTTAAGTGATTGCAACCTGGGGTGCCTTTGATATCTCACTGGATACATATAGTACATCAGATTGTTTCATATGAGAAGTAGATCAACATAGGAATTGCCCTAATAAACATGCCAAGGTTTGGGGGGCTTGGAAGGAGTCTGAATGATATATAGTCTCTCATGGTTCCGACTCAGGAGGTTCGGGATGATCCATTGCTCAAAAATATGGTTTACATTTTATACTATGCAACTAGTGATTTTGTACTAAGTGTTTACTTGTCTCTATAAGTGCCTTCTAATTGCTTTGTGATTTGTCTTGCAGGTCCCTTTCATTCGGAGTGCTAAGTGTAATGCTCTTTTTGACCTATTCTACTTGTTTGGTTGAAACTGTGCATTTTCTTTGTAATAAAAAGAGAGTTTAAAAAAATTAAATTAAAGCCAAATCTGTGAATGCTCCAAATAGAAATTAAAGGAGTTTTCCTATATAAAAGGTGCCACCATAGATTAAAAGTGTTATATTCCTGTCTGGGCATAGCAGCGAGCAATACAGACATTTTCTTTAAAGATCAGAATTGCAACAGCAAATGTGATATATGGTGCATGTTTCTGTTAAAAAACCCATAGTGGCAGCTAGCGTGTGTGTGCGTGGGTGTGTAAAAGGTTAACTGGTCAATTAACCTGTCTCAGAGTATCACTCTCAAGTCTTCTGGTGCATAGATTGTTGTCCCAGAGCAGGAAAATCTCCGAATAGAGTGAAGCTGAGTGAGTGATTGTCACAATTTGGTGGCAGCTGTGGGCAATGTAACCATTACAAAAGGTTCCGAACACTTTTAAAATCGACTTGTGAGAAAACACCCAAGTGCACTCACCTTTCCAGCAGATAGTTTGGCCTGTAGTTCCAGACATTCTTGTTTCAAATTTTCAATTTGTTTGTCTTTTTCCAGTAGGGCGCTCGACTGCTCACGCATATCCTTTGCTCGTTGACGTGCAAATGCCTTCTTGCATAGCTCCAAACTGGCGCCTTTTAAGTGTATTGGAGTATTTACCTACAAAACCAATGTTGGGACATTAAATTGTATCTGGCAACTTGACAGACAAGAGCCTGAACATTCAGATTTCAATAATAAATATGCAGACTTGTCTAGCAAAGATTTAGGTTTAGTTTAACGTGAACATGTACTCTATTGCCTTTTGGCTGTGCTGTAGGTTTACCCATGGGGCTGTACATGTTCATGTTACACTTCCGGTGCCCCTTAAAGTGAACATGTACTCTGCATTTTAAAACATTTAGGGGGAAAAATCCTTCCTAAGAATAGACACAAGATGCCGGCTATTACCTGCTTAGCCCAAAAATTTATTCTGTGCACCTTCATAATTTGATTTTGTTTTGACAAATTTTCTTTCATTTAACAAGCGCTGCAAACTGCCGTTCCAGTGTCCAATGAGATTGACTCTCATTAACTTTCACTGGACAGGATGATGGCAGTTAAAGAAGTTCAGCTATGAATTCAGGGAACATCAGGCTCAGGAGACAATGGGTCAGATAAAGTTGAGGAATGCAAATGATAGAATGTGCCATTTTAATTACAAGAATAAAGGAATTAATGAATGAATGAGTCATCCATTCATTACTTCCTAGTGAAAACAAGCTACAGCAGCAGGAAAGAATAGTAAAGTTTCAAAAATATTTAAAGATCTCCAAGATTTTGAAAAATTAACCCTGCAGTGGGGCTACCCACACACTGCAAGGGTTTACTGCTCGTTTTTCTTTAGGTGGCAAAATAAAGAAGAAATACTCACCTGATCCTCAGTTCTGCAGCAGTGACTGCTCACCTCTCTCCCCCTCTGCTCCAGCTGTAGTATGTCCCTCAGGCTTCACATCTGATAGAGCTGTATTAGACATGACAGCGTCAAAGGGCCTTAGCGTGCCGGAGATGGGTGTACAAAAAAAAAAAAAAAAAGACTGTGGGGATAGGTTTAGTAGTCAGACAGGATAAGGCGAGTATTTCTTCTTTATTTTCGCCCTATAGATAAAAGGAGCAGTTGACCATTTCAGTGTGGGGGTAGCCCCACTGCAAGGGTTAACGTTTCAAAACCATGGAGTTCTGCTTTAACTCTTTCACCCCCTCTTTACACCTGTATCTTGTCACATGCAGCCTTGGATGCTATCTGCTGTTATGAGGCAGATGGCTTACACAGGTCATTTATACATACCAGAAAAAAAAAATCCTAGTCAATTAATGGCCCTTTGGGAGTAAACTGGTAATTGAACAATGGGAATAGAAACAGCTTCACTTTCACATCTCTTATTTGAAGAACTTCTTAAAACATAACACCTACCATTTTAAGATTGGCCTCTTGGAGCTTCTGAGCTCTTTCTTCCAGACGCTTTGCTATAACTGCAAGCTCTGCATTTTTTCTCTTTAGTCTTTTAACCTTTTCCTCTGTTTCAGGAACACTGCTTTTTCTCTGCGGAATAGAATTTAAATAGATCAGTACATCACTTCTAAAAACTACAATTACAGTACAAGATGCCAAATTGATGCTTAAGGGCCCATTCACACCCCTGCGTGTGCATTGCTGTGTGGGATAACCCAAGGTACATTGTATCTGCCTACCGATTTCTTAAAGTGTATGTAAAGCACAGCAGTGAATGTTTCTTTCACACCCTTTTGGTTTACTAAATATACTATTAAAAAGTGTTTTGGTGCATCTGATAAGTGCAAAAAATACCTATTAAGGTGAGTAACGAAGAATGAGCGGAAACTAACCCTCCCGACTGTTTCACAGCATCTGACAACCGCAGGGAGTGTCATGCCACAGGAGCAGCAATTTGGTGACGACATTGGGAATGTAGCCACAAAAGGTTGTTGACCGAGATAGGGTGACAAAGATATGCTTCCAACCAGGGATGCATTTTTTACCATTATTTTGCCTTGGCAAAGCCTTAAAAGTGTAAAGAACCTTTCCTGAAAATGTCCTTGCCTTTTTTCCCACCTCCCAGTGTGCTGATCTAACCCACCCTTCCCATCCTCAGCTGCATTCTTACCAAGTTCTGATATCCAATCCCCTGGGACCGGTCTCCCTGTCCCATGGAAGTCTGAGATTCTAGTGCACACATAGGAGCAGGGGGAAGAAAAGGTCAGCGTGAACACAGGTCAACATTGCAGTTGAACCCAAGGGACTCGATGACAGAACTTGGTAAGCATGCAGCTGAGTAGTGGGAGGGTGGGTTAGATCAGCACAGTTGGAAGGGGGGAGGTGAAGAGGTAACCAAACGTTCAGAAAATGCTTTAATAAGTTTCTACATACCAAGCCCACAGCCATACATTTTAGTGCTCTGAAGGATCAGGAGTGTGTACTACGTTGAAGTGTGCTGGCATCTGAAATAAATAGGATGCCTCTCAAAACACATGCATAGCACGTCTTGACATAGTAACACTCACGCATAGGTGTGAATGCAGCCTATGTAGGGAAAGGAAACCTACAACACATATACATGCAACAATTGCATAGTTATAATGTGATAACACATTAAATGTTATGGAAATATGATCAAATAATTGACTATAATTCATTGAATGCATGCCCAACATTTTGGAGTTCAAATGGAAAAAGGTTTAAAGTACACCTATCATGAAAGAAAAATATAATCTTGCTCTGGCAGCGAACAGAGATATTGAAGCCACTTGATGGGTATGGCAGCATAAATAGCTTTTTTAAAAGAAAACATCAGGAATGGCAGTCCTTATATCTCTTTCAGACAGGTATCCATGTTTCCCTTAAGTTCCGCTTTTAGCCTGCCCAAGTCCATATACTTTAATTTATGGTATACCTACTTTCCAGGAAGAATTGGGCTGAGGGACAGGGTTCCAGTATGCTGGGCCTAAGTGTACATATTCCCCCAATCAGTCATCAAGCAGAGCAGGGCCTACAGTCAGTGACAATTGTTGGGCATTATATAGTTATCTAATCCCAGTTCAGACCTGTGATCACAGCTTCTGTCAGAGTGAAGTCTTCCAGCATAATCATGGAGCTCCGAGATGTTATGCAGCCACAGAACTACAAAGAACATAAATGCTGGAAGAATGCAAAAAACTGTGAAATGTGTTGTGCTCATTTGTTAAATAAGAACTCCGGGTAAATAAAAAAACTACTCTTGCAGTGGGACTACCCCACACTGCAAGGGTTAAGTGCTCATTTTCCTGTGGCTGGAATAAAGCTGTTTTACTTACCTGATCCCAGCTCCCACGGTGGTCAGCACTCACCTCTCTGCCCTCTGCTCCAGCTATGGAATGTCCCTCAGAGCCCTCACATCTAGTGCAGGTCAATGGACCTGCATAAGCTGTGATGACATCAGCAATCCTTAGACCACTGGAGCCGAGGAGAGAAAAAGCTGTGGGGACCAGTCAAGAAGCCTGGAGGAAGTAGGGATCAGATAAGTAATTCTGCGTTATTCTAGCTCCTAAACTAAAAACAAGCATCTAACCCTTGCAATGAGGGGTAGCCACACTGCAAAGGTATGTTTTTTTATTTGCCCTGCGTTTTTCTTTAGGAAGAAAATAATTTAGGAAGCTGAATGATGAGGATTATTTGTGGTGGTAGCATGAGATATTATAAGTGAGTGCATATCACAGAGCAGCCATTTTCTTTTTTTAGCTCATAAAATGCTTCCTCATTTACATTTCATTACTTACAATTCCACCTTTTAAGCATTTAATCAAAAAGGTGTGTTACACTAAACTATGTTCATTAAGACACATCCCACCTTTCACCATTGGCACCAGTCATCGTGGCTCCATGGCATGGTTGGGGCACATTAAGTCCACAGGAAACTGTCCCTACCATGGAAAGGCCAGTTGGTTATATTTGCCTCCCAGGCCATTTCCAGTCCTTCCGTCTCTACTTTTGTTGACTTCACGAGTCAGGAAATTGTGCCAGTGCACCCAAAATAAGCACAGCTTGCAGAAATATATATTACTGGTGCCGTCAGTATAAAATTCTGGAATAAATGTGTGCGAGATATGTTCTCTTAATCTGCATGCAAGAAAAAAAAAATACCAGAATTATATTTTCCTCCCGTAAATCTTTGCAGCGCTGTTCCAAATCTCGCAGTGCATCCAGCAATTCCTGTGTTGACTGACTGTGTTGTTCACCGGTATTCTGTAGGATAGAAATCAAAGCATTAGTATATGGACTGCATCTATATTATCTGTGTGTTAGAACTGGAAGAAAATAATAAAATTAGAGGGATAAAATGCTTTAAAGCTGAACTACAGGTAGATATAAAAAAAGACAGACATTCAATTAATTCATAAAAAAAATTTTTTTAAATTTCAAGCAGTGTTAAGTATCTAAATGAGATCCGATAACAGTCTCTTGCAATCTCCTTCAACAAGAAAAAAAGCACAGCGCTATCTTGAAGGTGTGGGGCATGTGTGGATGTGGTCAGTCTGGAGTGCTGCGAACAGGAGGAGGAATCTGTGAACGTGGTGATGGAGCAATAAGAGCGCAAAATCCAAAAGTCCTCCATCGGGACGGCCCCGATGGAGGATCTGGCGATGCATGGAGTGTCGTGTGAAGCTGGGGGTTTGTAGTGGCCACCGGATAAAGCAGTAAGGACAGAGCAGGACAGGTTCTATGGTCTGGACATGCCTGCTGAAAGTTGTAACGTCCGGCAGGTTGGTGGGACAGGGGGTCAAGGTGAAGCAGGGGGTCACCTGCGACCTGTGTAGGGCTGCAACAACTAATCGACATAATCGATTATTGAAAAAGTTGTCAACTTTTTCAATAATCGATGAATCGGCTTCCGATCAGTTGGCCCTGTTCACGGCTCCACACACGCAGCGCGTCGCACCTCCTCCCCACCTCACGCTCGGCGCTGCCAGACCCGCCCGCATCCACGCTCTTCACGCCGCACCTCCTCCCTGCCTCACACTCACCACCCGCCCACATCCACGATCGGCACAGGGACGCGGGGAGATGTAGTAAGGTGGAGCAGGTGTGGGGGGATGACAGCCGCCGATAGACAGGTCCGATCTCAGAAGCAAGTTGCTGGAAGACTGCTCAGGTAAGCCTGCACTTTCCCACACATGGTGCTCTATAATGTATTGCTGGGATTTGTATTCCTCTATAGCTGATGGTACATTGTGCTGTATATTATACATAGGAATACAAATCCCAGCAATACATTATACACTGTATGTATAATGTATTGCTGGGATTTGTTGTACTCCTCTATAGCTGGTGATATTCTGCATTGCGCTGTATAGAGGACTACAAGTCCCAGCAATAATACATTATACAGCGCAATGCAGAATACCACCAGCTATAGAAGAGTACAACAAATCCCAGCAATAATACATTATAAAGTGGTACAATGCTAAATACCACCAGCTATAGAGGACTACAAAACCCAGCAATAGTACATTATACAGCGCAATGCAGAATGCCGCCAGCTATTATGTACTATTGCTGGGATTTGTTGTATTCCTCTATAGCTGGCGGTATTCTGCATTGTGCTGTATAATGTGCTTTTGCTGGGTTTTGTAGTCCTCTATAGCCGGTGCCATTCTGCATTCATTGCTGTATAATTTTACACTTTCCATTTCACTATATTGCACACCACACTATCTTTTTTTTTTTTTTTACTTCCACCGCTCCAAGCTTGCTCCTGTGATGGACTACAACCTCAATACAAACTAGTAGTCCCATCACTGGAGCCATTTTTTAAACTTTATTTTATTGTTTATCCGATTAACCGATTAATCGAACTTAATAATCAGCTAACTAATCGATTTTGAAAATAATTGTTAGCTGCAGCTCTAGACCTGTGTGTAGTCTCTACACTATTCACACTTTTGGATTTTGTGCTCTTCTTGCATTCTCCCCATCTAAGTATAGCTTAGATGGGGAGGGGGAGAAAACTTGTGCTAATAGGGAGCATACCGATAAAAGGAGAGAGCAGAGTGCCAGAGAGACGAGCTCATCAGTCTTCTACTTCTTATCACTTTCCAGTCACAGTGGGGGGATGCGACGATGACGGTCGGCATTAATCAAGTGGTAATTAAAGTGATAAAGTCAAAAGGTTTTTAAGCCATTTCAAATGCTGATAAAACCACTTTAAAAAAGGAGAACTATGAGGTGAGTGCTTTTCACTCACCTCATAGTTCTAGCCGACCTGTGACAATGAGACTGTCACAGGTCGGCTCAGTAGATCGGGAGGTGAGCGAACACATACCAGGTTCGCTCACCTCTCGATCCTGTCACGGCTCTCTGCCGTGACAGGGGGAGGGGCTGGATTCCCCTCTCCCCGCTCCGATCTGCCAGCGCTGACTGGCGGAACGGACGGGGGAGGGGGCGGGTACAGCTGGCTCTGCCTCTAGATAGGCAGAGCCAGCTGTCACTCACGCAGCTGGGCGGATCCCGACATCTATGTCGGGATCCGCTCCAGGTGCGGCGTCTCAGTATACCGCGAGCTGTAGCTCGCGGTATACTGAGCTTAGGGTAACGGGAGGACACTAGTTTGTGTCCTCCCGTTACCCTAAGGAGAACTATGGGGAAAAACACTGACCCCATAGTTCTCCTTTAATGAAAAAAAAAGACTGAGAGATTACTACTACTACTACTACTACTACTAATACTTTAACTGAACTGCAGCAGAGAAAAAGCACCCACCCTTTCAAAACAGGGTTGTACTATAGGGCAGAGCTGTGCCAATTGTATGACTGGATGGACAGAAATACAAATTCTTTGGCAGGTAAAACAACTCCCATAAATGTAGTTCATCTGTGTGATTTAGCCATTTGCCTGGAGTTTTGCTTTGACAGTAACTAAAACATTCATATGGGTTTTAACGTATCATGAGAAAAAGGCTCTGGTTAACTGCATAGCTGTGAGAAGAAAGAAGTACAAAAACCAACAAAAAACCCACATGTAAAGCAATAGATTATTACATGTTAAATAAGAGCAACTAGTAGCAGTCATAGGCTGGGTTCACACCTAGGCGTTTTTCCGCGCTTTCGTACTCGCGGAAAAACGCTCAAACAGGGAAATGCCATTATTTTCAATGTGCATGGTTCCCATCTGGGCGGTTTTCCGCGAGTACGAACGTGCGGGAAACCGCCCTACGCCCAAAGAAGTACATGTACTTCTTTGGGGCGTTTTGGTCGGGCGGTTCCATTGGGATACAGCCAAGTATCCCTCGGAAACGCACGTTTTTCACACGTTTTTTTTATCGCGGGGAAAAAACCGCGCGAAAAACGTGCATATACAATCCGCCTAGGTGTGAACCCAGCCATAGTGTCAGCTGGAGAATAAAGTGCCAGTTGGCAGAGTTTCCTCCTGGCAGCAGCTGGCAAATCTTTCATAAACCATGTCATTACAGAACTTCCTTACAAACACTCTGTTGTTTAAACTTCAACCAAAATGTCATCTTGCTGCCAGGCGCTCACACATTCACTTTTTAACTATAATAATCAAAATGAATGCTCACATGTATTTCTATGCTTAACACCAGGAGATTGACGTATACACAATTAAGACGGTAATGTTATTGAAAACCTTGGGGAATAGCTGGGGAATTTGGAGAAACCCCAATTAACATATTAGCAAACATTTTCGCTTTATTGGCAGGATGAAGAGTAATATATTTTTCAACGCACTATATTGATGTGCTAGAAAAGTTGTGGTCAACTACCGGCCTGCTACAAGAGATGCTAGGACCAAGGCCCAGTAGGGCTGAAACATGCAAGCGGGTGTTGCTTTTATGAACTTTACAGTATGAAATAAAAGATACATTTGGAGGAAATTCCTTGAGTGCTGCCATCTTGCTGTAAACCGACATGTGGCCCTGGAAGGGGAATACTGGCTTTGCACCATGGTTGGTAGGAGCGGGGTGTAATGAAAAGTTAGAGAGGGTCAGAGACTATGGGCATGCCACAAGAGATGGTCAATGACTAGGTGCGTACTACAATAGGTTAGTCAGAGACTAGGAAGTGTGCTACAAGAATTGGTCATAAACTGCAGACATGAGATATGAGAACATGGGAGACTGTCAGAGACTAGAGACACATTACATAATACTGCTATCCCTGCTATGAGATCCCTACTAAACACAACCCCTTTACAAATTAATATATACATCTGTGCTCCCAACAGCTGCCTTAAAAATGACATGTCACATTTAGTATTTCCTACAGCAAGATCCATTATAAAAGGGTTCGGTAACAAAAACAAAAAAAAGAGAAAAAAGGGATTAAATAAAAGACGCACACACAACTTGAAAAACTTTAGAAGCCAATCTAAAGAATATTTTTTTCTTCAATGGCTTCATAAAGCACCAATACACAGACTACTGTCTGCTGTGTCACCTGAGGGGTGAACAATAAGTGCCAAAGGGCCACAGTTAGCAGTTTGGTTCCCTCCTCCCTTGGCTGTTGAAAATTAGCACTGACAGCATACACCATATATTTTTTTTATACACCGAGTATTAAAAATGCTTATTAAAAGAACTTTCCTATTTGCCAACTGTATCCCTAGTAGTACACATTGTCCTCCATATGATTAATAAAGCAGATGTGTTAATAGATTGGAAATACAAATACATTTGAAAGGCATGGAGGAGCTCAGCTATGAGGAAAGATTAGCTGACCTGAATTTGTTCTCTCTGGAGAAGAGGCGATTAAGGGGGGACATGATCACATCTAAAATTAGGTACCTCGGCTTATATTCGGGACGGCTTATACTCGAGTATATACGGTACATAATATGGTCCATATAGTGAGCTTGGTGCCAAATTATCCACCTTTGCACATGGAAAGGATTCTTCAGTTAGAGCTGTGAAAATGTGGAATAGACTCCACCAGGAGCTAGTTCTAGCGAGCAAATGTATCTGTTTAAAAAAAATCTGGATGTATTCCTAAATGCACAGAATATTACTGGATATTGAGTTCTTATAGGTATATTAAGCATCAGAGACTGTTGATCCAGGGAATATCCGATTGCCTTATGGGATCAGGAAGGAATTTTTTTTCCTCTGTTGGAGCAAATTAAAAATCAGGCTTTATAGGGGATTTTTTCTGCCTTTCTCTGGATCAACAGGGGGTAATAGGGGGCACAGCATTCCGTTT